ATTGAGTACCGGTATATACCTTTGTTGCATGCAGCTACCTCCCTTTATCCCCGCTTGCCATTCACTTGTAACTTCTTCTTTTTTTAAAGAGAAAAAAAGTGATAAACCACCACAATTTTGTCATGTGTGAATAAACCTTTAGAAGGCTGAGACATACATGTATATCACACCATTATTTTTTTAACAACAGATACTATACAAACCAAGCTTTTTGAGAGTCATGGAAACAAAATTAGATGTGAATGGGCTTACACAACCAATTATGGAAGATAGGAAGAAGAGCGTGTAATTCAATTTAAGTGGAGAAAAGCTTGCTATTCATCTGTTTGGTGACGCGTGGAATCTAGTTTGTCAATAATTGATCTCACTTCACGCGATGGAACACACCCTTTGACTGTGTGTTTCCTTTAGCTTCAGTGATGAGTGAAAAGCAAAGATCAATGAGCTGGTAGAGGCTCTCTTTTCCTTGGCAACCCTGAGAGATATCTTAATACCAGAACATGAAAAGACTTCACATATTAGACATGAGTTCACCTCATTAGTAAAGACTGGTTATCAGTTTCTTCAAGATTAGATGAAATATCATGGATGTATCTTCATATTCAACAGGCTTCTTTGTCAACCTATTATTTGATTAATTCAGAATTTGAATACATTTTGAGGCATCTTAAACTTTATTTCAGTGTGCATTTCTACAATTCGTCCCTATTTTTCCGAAGTAACGGTAGTGAGGAAAATCGTCACGCAAAGTGAATGCAATTTTTTTTCTCAATTTGATATTTCATCAATACTTTCTCACTGAAAGTTACTAAATAATGATAATACCAAGTAAGATGTATGGATTTTAGAATAAATTGGAAAAAATGCAATTTGTATGTTTTATATACACTAGAGTTATTGCACTTAACTCTCTGTACTATAAATGAGTTAATATGATTTGTTCTTGTTTCTCCTAATCCGATGAAACTCTCCTATAAATAGGAATGGCTGCACCACTCCTTGCTCAAAGTTCAATCAATTTAGCTGTGTGGATCCTGGGCAATTTAGATTACCGTAGGTTGTGTGGGGTGAACAGCAATATTGCTTTCTCTCCAATTTGCAGACCAATTGAACAAATTCTGGACCATAGAGTCGTCTTCGTAATTTAGCCTCTCTGTCTTTCTTTCTCTATCTCCAACGGTCTTCCCCTTGCTATTTTACATGTACCTATTCCTTCTGTCTGTGTTTATATTCAAGGAGCTTATTGTCTGCTGTCCCTCTTGCTCAACCCCCTTTCCTATCTCCACTCTCTTCCCCTCTATTTGTTTCTCCCTCCCTCCAACTCACCCCCCCCCCCTCACCCTCTCTCTCTTTCTTTCTCTCTTTCTCTCTCTCTCTCTCTCCCTCTCTCCCTCTCTCCCTCTCTCCCTCTCTCCCTCTCTCCCTCTCTCCCTCTCTCCCTCTCTCCCTCTCTCCCTCTCCCCTCTTCCTCTCTCATTTCAGTACTCACCAATTCAGATTACATTGTTTTTCAATTAATGTTTAAACAATTTTCTTGTCTGATCTTTAGATCCATGATGTTGTAAAAGTTCCCTCATTCATGTGCTAAATAATCATACAGTGCCCACTGTGTGCACATCCAATTGAGAGGAACAATTTTTTTTCCAGATCATATTTCATTTTGTAATTTAATATCTAGATCAAGAGGTAAAAATGAGTAGAGACACTTCTTTCATCATGTAAATGTAATGTACCGTAGCTATGCTATTATCCTTTGTACTACATTCCGTATCTAGACCATTTTCATAATGTAATCAAATTTAATGCATGAATCTTTGTTAGGCCTACATGTAAGTGCCATGTTACACATTATTTCATGCACCTGTTATGAATAATTGTATTTTATTAGTCAAAATGCAAATTGCATACATTAATTGTTGCTAGGTAGGACAAACATAATGGCTTGTCCTGCCTAACAACATTGGCATTCTGACTATTGAAAACAATTATTTGTAACCTGTGAATAAAATAATGTGTAACATGGCATTTGTGACGAGGCACGTGACGTGCATTAAATCTGACTTTATTATGAAAATGGCCTAATGCCAATTACATAAATAAATTAGTGCCCTTCTAGGGTAAAGGTTTCGCATACTAAATGAAATAGATTTGTCAACTGCTATATTTTAGTCTATTTAAATGAATGAGTTACAATTGTTCTCGTGTTATATATTTTTCACCAAATATAATTTTCAACTTCTCAGCTTTGATTTTCCCTCTTATAAAAGAAGAGGTTTTGTTATTGAAGTTAATCTGATTTTTTTTTTTTTTTGGGGGGGTGTTATATTGTACAATATTGGACGATATCAAAACATAGATGATGTGAAATAGAATAACCCGCAAGTACATGTATACATGTATGAAAGCTCATACAAAGTATCTTGACCCCTGGCTTATACAAGATGACTAAATTGGAACAGCCCTTGTGACCTAGAAATGCACTTCTGGAAGAGTGAAAGTGTAACTTCGAGATACTGAGATAAGGATATGATCTTCTCATTGACTTGCCTACCTCGATCACTTCACGATTGGAGGGGTCTCGATCGTCAGGTGAGAAGGAGGTTGATTGACATCTCAAGAAAGTTAAGATACAGGGAGAGAAACCTGCACTCTCCCCTTGCGTGTTGTCAAGTCTTCTCTGGCAACCCCTGAAGACACCCTAGATCCATGGCTTTTGTGTTTCTCGTCCTTAAAAAGAGATGTCTCGTCTTTTTTTACAAAGTGATATATCGAGCCCAGAGGATTTGGCATGTAATCATTCATGAATGAATATTCTCAGGTGGAATGAGCAGGGTCATTTTGTAACCTTCTATCCCATTCATCATCTTTTTATCATGATTCATTACTTTTTGACACTCATTTTGCTATTAAGTTGTTTAAAAGGTCTGCATTAACTTGAAGTTGCTACAGAAACCAGCTCATCTTGAGATAGATTTTCCTAATTATATATTTCATAGGACCAATATGTGGAATTCATTAGGTAAAATTTTAAAAGAAGCCTATACTTTAAATAGATTTAAATGACTTGTTAAAATATTTTATACTGAATTCTTACTTATTTAATTGACTCTCTACTTTGTCTGTTTTTCACCTCTTTGACTCTACATTTTTCATATTTTTCTTAAGCCGTAACTTTATCTGTATATTTCATCTATATATATATATATATATATATATATAGTGTATTTAGTGTATAGTGTATTGTGGTGTTTTTTGTTTTATTTTCTATTATTTTATAAATTTGCCATTTCTTGTACAGTTCTTTTTATCTCCGGCTACAGAAAATGTGAATAACTTGTTCACATTATTCACTCTGTGATGAATGAAATACGTACATACTTTGTATGGCATCAACCCATGATGGGTTTGTTGACCCCTCATCAGAGACTGCAGCAAGAAATCCAGAGAAAAAACAAAAATAGTAAAATTAATGACTTGTCAGATCTAGCACCTGCTCTATTGTATGACTACAGTCTAGTGAAAGGGAATGTGAAAAGGCAACTTTGTTATTAATAGCATCCTTGTAAAAATGGGCCAGGTAATTTCCCATCAGCACCTGCTCTATGCATGGGAAGTGAATTCATTAAGTAATATCTCAATTCCGCTATTCCAGATACTCAGTACAAATATAGCTCTTTTTTTAGAGCCAGAAGGATATTAACTCTGTGTGAAACTATACGAGTTAATGCCCTTCTGGGTCCAAACAGCCACAAATATGCTGAAATGTTGACTTAAGCTGTGATTCTTCTGTCCACCCCCCCCCCCATAACTGTTACAATTATGTTGACATTTATAATGGACAAAAATATGTGGCCTACATGATTGAACCAATGACACCCTTCATATAGAGGGTACATACACTGTACGTGATGTACGTGTATGAAAAAACCTTATTTAGAAATGAAATACCAACCTTTTATCTTTTTTTTAAAGCAGCTGAATACATTGCAAGAATTACAGGTTTTTTTTAATGCCTTCCCCAAAGCAAGACTTGATTTCTGCTGAAGAAAAATAGGTCAGAAAGTACTCTGATTTGTAATGACTTGTGGCTCTCAACAAAAATGTGTGAAAATTAACAGAAAAGGCATATGCCGGTGCTTTCTTGGCAAGAACAGTGTGAAAGAAAGAAGACAAAAATATTTGAAATGGTGATAGAACGACACCTGCCCCACACTTTTATGTAGTGTTTGCTTCCGTTTTGTGATGAGGAAAAGAAAGGCATTGTAATATTGTCTCAGAAATATTATTTAATGGTTAAAAATATTATCCCAAATGAAGATAAGTTTAAGAGCAGGTAGAACGTGAAGTGCAATCAAATGTAAAAGATGGACATATATAACAAAATATTTTTGATTAGTGGAGGAACAATTTTATTTCTTCTTCCTCAATTTTACTGACCAGTATAATTCAATAATATAAATGAACATGTAGGGCACTCATTGTCACCTGTATGTTTTGTGTTTTTTTAATAGAAGTTGTGCTACAGCAAATTTTTACTCACCACTTTCTCCTTTGCCCTTCAGTTGACAATTGAATAAATGAGTTTTGGTGCTGTGATTGAATAGCATTCATGAAAGAAAGTCGAACATGGTGTGTGAAATATTATCAAGAAAGAGGACTGCTAAAAAAAATTAATATGAAATAAAATATCCTTTGAAATAAAAAATAGTTCAACTAAAGTGCAATGATAAATTTCTTACGTTGGAGTGAATGCACACACATAAATACATGTATTCTTATAAATCAGTGTATTTATAAAGTAAGATGCGTCATGTGTTTGTGTTTATTTTTACTTTTTTGATACAATATATTTTCTACAAACTACATTTTTATTTTCTTTCTTTCTTAATCCATACATTTAGTTACACAAAATCTATATTATGCAAGCGATGTTTTGTTATTTGCTTTAAAATGCACCCTTGAAATTCACTTGACCTTATTTTTGTCATTTCTTTCCTCAGCAACTTGCAGCAGATCCTTCAGACAGGATGTACTTAACATGACCAAGATGTCGTTGACCGGTCTCTTCAGGCAAGATCCTCGGATCCCAGCCAAGACAGAGGGCGCCGTGGTACGAGAGTGCATCTTCAATGAACTTGAGAGTCAGATGAAAGAGGTACAGCACCAGCAGTGGCAGCATGATCAGGATGAGAAACAGCGTAAGCAGACGGTAGACTATAGCTGGCTCGTCAGCACCCAACCCAAGTATTATATCATCCCTCAGCTCCAGCAACTCGAGCTTGAGGACCTCTGTAGCAAGATGAAGGCGTGTGAAACGGGGAGGATCATTTCACGCTTCAGGGAGCTTCTCACTAGGCAGCCGGAAGTGAAGGAGGTGCCACAGATCTTGAAAGCCATCATCGAGCAGGTGCTGCAGGAACGACCGCCGGAGGAGACAATCACAGACTGGATGTGGAAAAAGACAAATAACCTGACCAAAGTCAAACAAAATATCCGTGTGCATCCGTTGGCAAGCGTGTCGGAGCAGGTAGACAGACAGTATGCTCATACCAGGAGTCGTAGAGCCATTAGTGTGCCAGAGTTTGGGAACAGTGCAACACTTAGGAGTAGATCGTTACCAGAATTTTGTGCCAACATGGATAGTTTACCAGTATAGTAATGAATGATGTACCTTTGCTATATAATCTATTGTATTTTTTCTGTTTGGTTTTGATAACTACGTGTTTGTGTGTGACATTTTTTTTCTTTTCCCTCGAATATTGTGTTCATTTTTTATGTTACAATATTTACTACCATGATTTGGGTCTGTTTTAATTCATTAAGTTATTTTCAATAGGTATTTTCCCACCCTGTTCTTATTCTTTCAACTTCATCAACTACCAAAGTCACACCATTATCGAAATCAGTATTGATCAAAATGTTTGTGTAGTAGCGATGCCGGTATGATGACAAATCACATATAAAGCTGGCTTGATCAAATCAAATGGCAGGGAAAAGACGGGAAGTAGATCCTCATCAATATCCACCAATCAATCAAGGCTCATCAGCTTCATATTCCACCCCAGTGCGTTGAAGGGTTATTTCCATATAGAATGAGGATGATCACTGACCTAAAAACCACAAACTTGGGGATTGCATTATGGTTCATTCTATTAAATTGGCTGGACTGGGGGTATTTTTATAATGTCTCCATCAGCCCTGATCAATCCATTCAATCTACGGTATCTTTCATCCACTTGGCCTCCATAATAGATGGATATCATGAAACAAGCATCTAATGTTTGATAGTTTCTCAGGTCAAGCAAAGGGGCAATCTGTTCGGAATCGTATTCATGATTCAAGGCTCTTTTTATTTAAAACGATATCAGGCCATTTTACTAAATGAAACATTTATGTCTCAGTCAGGCTGATTAACACATACCGTATGCAGGTGCAAGAAGAGTTAATTAACCAGTTACAGAAAAACCCTTTTGGAGAAGGAGTAATTTTATATAAATTATTACATGTGTTATTTTTTGCTACTTTTTAGTATTGTTACCTTCGAATCTCTATGATGTATTATAAAATTAAAGAAGTAATTAAATGTACATTTACATGTATTACAAAAGAATTACTGAATCCTACATCATGTGCGTGTATTTCTATGTAAAGCAGTATACAACAACAAAATTGTGCTAGATATCAGACATGTAGGTGCATTTCTCTCCTTTGCAAGTCACAAAAATGGCATTTCATTATTAAAGCTTTACAATATTTCACTACAGAATATTTTTTGTTTTTAATGTCAAGTGACATAACACTGTAATCAAGATTTGGAAAGAGCATATTAATCAAATGAGGAAACTCTCTTATGACAGTTGTCTTCAACTGTCTCTATTATTTTCCATACATATAGGTGTCATCTCAATTTAATAATTGTTAACTACTGCCTGTAGGGATAAGTTAGTGTGTCATATTTTTCATTTCCATTCTAGCTTGACCAGTAGAAAAGACTTTAGGAAATGATGTCCTGAATAGAAATCACTCAAAATAACCAAGCTTAAATTTGTTCTGATGTTTGATCAAATGACTCTGAGATCACTAAAGCAATCAGCATGCATTCCACCAAATATTCTGAGGCACGACCGCATGCTCTTACTTACGAATCCCTGGTGTATCATTAACAGTTTCATCCCACGGTGTCATCCCACACTTCAGCTCCTTAACGATCAAGGGAGATAGTTGTCCATGATCTAAGTTAAGAAACAAGTCTGCATTTGGAGTTCTCCCACCACAGAGATTCAGAGATGTTATTATGGAAAGGAAACGCTGGGGAGAAATTTTCACAGCAGAATGGCTAATCCTTGCTATTTGCTAACCCAAACGAGCGAACAAAGCTTTCTCTTATTACTATTTGATGTAAGTCACACAGGACCGACATTCTACCCCTCACTTATCTCTATTTCCTCCTGAAATCCTCTGCTCTCTATCTAATAGGCTTCAACTAGCTTGTCAATTGCATCTCTCTTTCTGTCTCTCTTTCTCTCCGCTACTCACTCACTCTATCTCTCTCTCTCTCCCCATCTGTTTCTCTATCCCTCTCTTTCTATCCCATTTCTCTCTTCTTATATCTGTCATTACCCTTTCTCTTTCTCTGTTCATCTCTCTCTCTCTCTCTCTCTCTCTCTCTCTCTCTCTCTCTTTCTCTACCTTCCTAGCACTCTGAGCATATGAAACCTTCTCGTGGCTTTTTCCTTGTACAATGTATGTTTAACGTACGTCAGAAGTGTTTTTTGTTCCAAATCCCCTGACCAGCTCTGACTAGTGGGGGTGATTGCCATTTTGTTGATCCCTGACGGTGCGCTCTCCATCAACGGGAATAGGAATCATTTTCTGTGTTTGGAGAAAGAATTTGACAACCCGCTTTTTGAGATTTTCACAGCCTAGTAAACACGTAGCTTCAAGACAATCCCCACCTCATATCCGTAGAGGGATGAGGTAAGGCCACACTGATTGATGGTACTATAATGAAAAGGGCATCGGCTTGGACGCCACCTCAAATGTCAATCCTTTAAAAGTTTCCATTTCATTTCATGCATCAATCGACAAATATTCAGACATGATTTTTTTAGGGAAATCATAACTTTTTTGTCTTGTGTACTTTCCAAAATTGGGTGAAGTGAGATGCAGAGTTACAGCTATCTGGAGCATGGCTTTGTTTTGTTTTTTGTTTATTTATGCATTCTAGTATCTGTGTCTGTTGAAAGATCCGCTTTCTCCAAAAAAGTCTCTTGTAAAGACTAAAACAGATTTTTGCTGTCTATAGCTCAGAGTGTAATCATTTCATACATTATGGATCAGAACCTTGTAATCAAGTTCTACATGCTTCAGGTAATTTCCTTTTAAACCAATTTCTCTAATTCTTGAAATTGCAGCATCAGTTTAGTATGTCTTATCAAGTCATGGCAACAAAAGTAGCCTTTATATTCCTTGTTTATATAACAAGTCTTCAATGTGAATACTGTCATAACAAAATCAACATCTTGCAATTCTCAATCCCATTAGGTAAATTTGTCTCTGCAGAAGGCAGTCCAGCGGGCCAAAGTACAATTTTGTTTTACAATCTACAAATTGTAACTTGTCATTTAATAGCCTGTCATGTAATTTTCTTTCATCTTCTATAAACTCTTCTCCCCTTTCTTCCTTCATTTTGCATATTATCGAACAATGCTGTTTTCCCCCCTTCCTGGCATTACACAAGTCAGACACAAAAAAGAAAAGGAATTTTCAAACTCCAATGTATGAACCTGCTCCAGGTCTATATTGCAATCATATTAATTAAATGCCTACTGGCTGTTTGCAATATTCCATCATCCTTGAACGGAGTCAGAATCTAGCCTTAGAAGATATTGCCAAAACGCATCTTCAATATTGGTATTGATACTGTCCTACATGCATATATCGAAAGCTACATTATGCATTGCGCAATTCCTTATTCCAGATATATTTTGTGATCCTAATTTCAATTTCTTAGATTAGTATTACCTTGAGCACAAAACATATTGCTCGAGAATACTTACAACTTGGTATGAATCTCAATTGTGAATTGTAGGTTAAGTAATTCTTTCAAAGCAATAAGAGCTCTAACAAGGCGGGTTGGTGAGCTCTACCATAGGCTCTTTGGTTAGTGAGAAATCTCAGCAATCATTTTCTTATTCCTTTGATAGAATTACATTTTGTAACCCTGAACACGTAATATCTGCATTTCAATTTCTCAGCCATGCAGAGTATAATTGATACTTTACTCATATGAATCTCATTTCCTTTCCTTTTTGTGTCATGAAATGTTTTGAGATTAAAGAAAATTGGAATCTAGGGTACTTTTATGATATTTGGAGGATATTTACAAAATATGTAGAAATCAATGAATAGAGGAGTGATTGTTTTTTTTAATCCTTCTCATTTTTGTCCCTCTTTTCACCTTGCTTCCCATCACTCTTTGGAATAATATTTCTATCTGTCTTTTCAAATATTGAATGGTACCTTTAAAGCTATCTACACTCAGTGTAAGATTAAGGCATCTTCACTACAATTCCACTTTAAATTGACAGGTATACTGTACCTCAGAATTATATTACAGTACCTGCTGGTTGAACATATAAACCTTTGATGCTAAACATTGTTTGCTACTAATTCTTAGTAAGGGGGTGTAGTACGATCAATAATGCTTACTTGAAAAAACGTATAGACGTTGTTTGACACTGCTCGGGCTTGGACAATGAATGATGGCAACAACATCTCTATCGCCATGGTAACACATATCCTGCGTCCCAATGGAATACTACCTAGATGCTTTAACTCGCATTGATCGTTGTTGAGTTGGGGTCAATGCTGAGTGTGCAAGATGTATTCTGGAATTACTGTGATCATGCTCGCTAATTTTTTTAATTCAGTATCCAGTGTCCTTGTGATAATGTTGGCAAAAGCATCTCTAATCTCTCTCTCTCTCTCTCTCTCTCTCTCTCTCTCTCTCTCTGTTCATCCACCTCTCATTCCCTTTCACTGAATTTCTGCCACTCTCTTCTTACCTTGTAAATGCAGACCATAATATAGGCTAAGGTCATAGTGACATTTGTTTACATTTATAATGAAAGTAACCATTTAAAAAAAGATGTAGCAGAGTATAGTGTTACAGATTTACATTGAGGCAAAAAAAAGCCTTGGAGTGTACAGCCGCCGGATGCCTTTGTGAATATTGAATACTAAGCAGATATTATGCATGTGCAGACTATCAGTGCTAATGGCTGAATTAATTGAGTTTGGAAGCTTATATGCAGTGTCAGGGCAGTGGCAGGATGTATTTCCATTAGACTCCAATGATGACTGAAATGATCGCTCTGATTTGATTATGTTTGTCTTAGTGCACCAAACTAAAGATCACCTTTCTCGCTCACACACTTTATCTCCCTCTTTTATCTGTCTTTCTATTTTGTATCATGCTTCTTTCCTTTCTCTATATATTTAATCTCTATCTCTCTCTCTCTCTCTCTCTCTCTCTCTCTCTCTCTTCTTCTCTCTCTCTCTCTCTCTCTTTATCTCTCTCTCTTTCTTTCTCTCTCCCCCTGATGTATTGACTGATGGGAGAGTAGTCTTACCAGTAGTGTCTATAAACAGAGGGAATCGGTTTTATTTACATGGATCACAGATAGGTATATCGTGTGCTTCAGCTCTTGTGTGTTTTACTGCAAATTCAACAGAGGAAAATAATAATCAATGCACCCACAGGTATGTTTGATATATATCAAGTGTCAAATATTTACATGTGTGGACAATATTCTTTTCATTAAATTATTCAACTCGGGAACCTACTTGGCACGAAACATGAAGAGTATTGACCAGTTGAGACCAGCTTCTTAGTCACATAAATGGAGGACAATTATGCTCATCAAATTTATTCAGTATTTTGATTGAATAGTTATTCACCATTTTGTGGTTGTATTGTGTGTTTTTTAACATCGAACAAATTTCAATCTTTTGGTTGTAGCAGTTAACAAGTTCTTCTGTTATGTCGACATGTTATTTCCCTCAATTTATATGTTATAGTGAATTGCCATTTAACCAATACTATATATTTATTAGTAACTGAAAAACTGATTACCTATCTTCTTGAGTGGGGTATTTAAATCAATGTATCACTGAGTATGAAATGTATGGAAAACTAATGAAAACTAATTTTCTTCAAACTTGAATTTTCTCAGCTCTACTTCTCTTTCTAAGAAGATGAAAGAACACACTCCATTTTGATTGCTCCCGAATAAGCGATCATTAAGCAAACAAAATATGGTTGCAATTACCAAATTAAACATTTTCTGCCCCATCCTCCCCTCTCTAGCTGTGGAGAAAATCTAGATAACTCAATTTGACAATGTAAACTCCATTCTCCAAAGACAACATGCTTTTTTCTTTCATTTATTGAAGGATTAAATAGAAATGCACAAGTGTGTCACTGGTCTCGAGTTTACTCAAAGCCAAGTTGCGTCAGAGTGCATGTGATCATTAGAAGGGGGCGTGACTGACCGTATGGAACTCTTATATGGGGTTCTCCCAGGGATCTTGCAGTAGTTGGGGTTT